ATTGTCTACTTCACAACATAAATACAGATATGTAGACGTTTACATGTATACAAATGGGACAACAAATACAAAAGTACTGTGTAGTTTATGGACCACAAGATAGTAGAAAATATGACAGTAGGTTGACAATATGTATAACAATGACAAGACAAATAGCACAAATATGACAAGATCTACTAAAAAACAACAGTTATGACAATGTACAAACTAGACTTCACCGCTAACACAGAATTATCCTACAGTGTTATAAATAGGGCCAGAAGAAACCTTTACCGTTTTAATAAAAAAACTTCCCTAGGAAAGATAACACCGTGGATGTCCCTACAGTATACTCTAAAATTAAACTTATATTACACAGAAAAAGTAAAAAATTTACTTAATCTAATTAAGTATGATATAAGTAGATTTTTAAAGTCTTAAATTATATATATAATACATAACATAATATACATAAATACCAAGTGAAAGTGTCCAAAAGAAATCTTTAGTTGGTCACCTCTGCTCCTCTGTGACGCTATGATTTCTGTGTAATCGATAATCCTCTGTAGTAGATGCTCCTTCTAGGTAGTAGATAATCCTATGTGGTAGTGTACTTGGGTAAAATAATCCAATGAGAAAAGTTACACCACAAATTGCTGCAATACTCCAATGTAAGTACCTTGCGTAATAGTGTAATTGTGATAATCCAATAATTGAAAATTGTCTAATTTCTCTCCGGTTCTGTTGCACTTGTGAGTAATTGAAGAATTACTTGAAGAATTACTTGACTTGCATTGCGCACTAGGCTATGTGCGGCTTGTATAAGTAAAGATTATGCTGGGGAAATCTTACTTCCGCTGTCTTGATAAAACATCTCATCTGTAATGACATCAGACTTCTTTTGGTTTTGTGTGGATCATCTCTTTCGTTGACTAATAACTGTAAAATAGATTTCTTGCTGTTTCTTCCACGAGAATATTCACTCCACTGTTATATAATTGAAACAGTGTACCAGTTAGCTGTTTGCACTCTGAACTTTTGACTCCCGTGACTGACCTAAATTCAATCGTTGTCAGCTTGCTCTGTGTGTCGTGGACTCTTCTCAGACTTGACAAATACTCGGGCGTAATGACGTTCGATTCGAATGTTAAAATATATCATTGTTACTCAATGTTCTGTAATACATCGTTGTTCTGACACTTCTGACAATATTTGTAACGCATCGTCGTTACACCGCTTCTGACACCATTTGTAACACACTTCTACTCTGACATGGCGTGGGATGTTATTTCTTATGCTGTGGGTTATGTCAGTAGTATGGTTACTTATATTAACGCTTCAGGATGCCGACTCAGTCTTCTTCATTCTTTCACTTATTATTCAGGCACGTAAAGAAGAATGCTCAATTCTAGTTAAAACTCACAGTACTTTATTGAACACACTTTATATTGATAATATTAATAAATAATCCTTGCATGAATGTAATTTCACATATATATCTATAGTATTCCATCATTAAGAAAGACACGTCCTCAGACTACTATAACTCAGCTCAACTGTCTAATCTCACAGCTCTCACGCTACTGACTGACTCTACTGCTCTGCGCTCAGCTCTCTACTATCTCAGTCAACTCATACTTTATTACCAGCAAAGCGTGCAAAACAACCGCTCTGACAAAAACATAATTTTACTCTCCAAAAACGTGGAGTTCACATTTGTTCTCAAAAATACAATCCACATTGATTGTCTCTCCCCGTGGAAAAACCTGGTGAACACACTCACTGTCCACTCATGCTACCTCTCTGTTTACATGTGAAAACATAGTCCGTTACACAAAGGCTCCCCAGAAACCTGCACTTAATCCGGGATATTGTGTGTCTTATATCTCAGAAGCGCACAGTCTCTCACCACCGACAGATGATAGGAGACATGAATCTCATAGAATTGGTGCGCACCGACGTTCAAAAATATTAAAAGCTTTGCGCACCGTCAGTTTCATTACAATGTTATACACACTATGCTGGTTGCCGGCGTGGCTTTACTTGACCTGGTTACTTGATCAGGGTTTAATCTTTCAACTGTGGTCTGACATTCTGGTACTGTGGATCACACACATCAACTCTGCTTTAAATCCAATAATATTGTGCACTTACAAACCGGTTAGCAGAGCTGTTGAGTCAATGTTCGGGCCTTAAGCTGTCACGTTTGGGGCAAGCTGATAGTTGTCAGGCTAACTGATCTACTTAATTAAAAAACGATGCCATCTCCCCATTAATTGTCATGAGATCTAATAATTGTCAATTTAGAAGACGAATAATTCGATACTTGAAATTGTAAACGATTTTCGGTTATTTAAAAAAAGATCACGTACATACTACAAAGTTTAATATTCGTAAAATAACATAACAATCTTGTCATACGGATTGATTTTGCTAAAACAGTGGGAAACCTGGGTGTCTACTTAGACAGAAAACTAACTATGGAAAATCACATTAACATGCTTTGCAAGGCGATTTTTCTAGAGCTGCGCAGAATCAGTCACATCAGACCTTCTAAACGTTTAATGCACCAAAGAAGCTGATGTCTGCATTCGTGCTTTCAAGCATAGACTACTGCAATGCTCTCATGGCGGGTCTTCCAGCTACGCTCCTGGATAAAATAAAAAAAAACACAGAATAATGCGGCTCGCATTGTTCTTCGAAAACCGCAAATTCGACCATGCTAAAACACTTCTGAGAGAGTAGCATTGGCTGCTGGTGCTCGCTCACATAATAAGGTCAAAATATCAAATGTGTGCTTCCACTGCTTGCAAGACATGGCAGCGTCCTATCTCAAAGCGCTCATGACGACTTATGTACCCATTAGACAACTCCGCTCATCCGATAGTAACAAACTTTCCATACCACGTGTTTGCCTGGAGAGTTACTGAAGGCGCACTTTCGCATTTGCTGGCCCAACAATTCGGAACACAAATCCCGGTGCTCTCTGAAACAGTCAGACACTGGGGTCATTCAAAACCGAATTGAGAACACTTCTATTTCGCAAACCCCTGCTGGTTGTCTACCATCTTTTCCAGCTAGCTATTATCTCCTAGATGTATAGTGGCCTGTGGTGTTTGCAAGGGATGAAAGACTTAGAATGGGTTTTCTCGTTTGCAGTTTTTTGTAATGTTGCGTTTTGTATTTCAATGGTGTACAATAAAGATTTTTCATTTCTCTTTTAATATGGTTGACTTTGTACCGCGCTTCGAACCTTCGGGGATGGAGCGTGATTTTCAAATAAACTTTATTATTTTTATCATTAAATGCAGCGCAAAAGCAAATTTGTAGAGTGGTTTGAATTTTAAAACCACCACTGAATTGCTGTTAGTGTTTTTGTAAAAAAAAAAAAAATTTAGACGCGCATGTGATATAAATAGTGTATATATTGTGACTGTTTCTATGTCTCTTTTTTCTCATTAGACTATTTTTTCTCAATGTTTTATGTTAAAATAGGAAGAGTGCATAGTAGATTTAAGGTAGATGCCCTGGAATATGTAAGTCGCCAGGGCGCATGTTTTAACACTATGGGGAGCAATCACATAAAACAGCCTAAACAGACAAGAACAAAATAATGTTTTTAGATTTGTTCATTATGCTCTTATTGAATAAAAAAAATTAATAATTTTGAACACTATAATGTAAAACATAAGGGAAAAAATATTTGTGTTATTTCAATAATAGTGCGCAGCTTAACACTAAAAGGTAAAGAAGAATACTCAGAAAGATATTGGATAAAGTGGAATAGAGAATTCGTACAAATCAAGAAACCACAGATGAAACCAAACGAACTTCTTAAGCAAACTTTGTGCTCAATGAAAAACACCGAAAACGAAGCAGTGCAGCGCTTGTCGCATCCTGACCACGGAACATTCGTTTCGTACCTAGCACTCTGAATTTTCTAAATTAGAACCAAAGTTTAATTTCTTAAGTTTTAGAGGTCTAATCGATCATTCAAAACCCGTGGTATTTTGTTTTTTTTTAGCATGGTTAAGGAAACATGGTGTAATATAGAAGCGCTAGTGTAAAATGAATTTCAGTGCTTTTTAAACATGTTTAGGAAACGTATTTTCTACTTTAAAAAAAATACTACCAAAAGATCCAAAATATATACCGGATATTACACCAGAATGATTGAAATAATGAGTGAACAAAATCTCCAGTCACCAATAAGAATCATTGAGATTAACATAAAGATTTAACTAATGACAAAGACTACATTGAAAGCAACGTTACTGTTTTAAGACTTTGTGTTTTGCCTCTCACTCAAACTAAACGAAGCTTATTTGATGCCCCCCTCCCCCCACCGGCCAAAAACCGAAAAGGTTTTCGTTTCATCAATTTTGTCCATGTTGTATCGTCCAATCGCATTCCTAGAATAATGTTTGAAAACCTGTTTCCAAAATGTCAATGCAAGATCGTATAAATGTCAAATGTGTGAAATATTTTTCCCCGATCAACATGAACCGTGTCTGAAACTCCACACAGGCGTTGCCATAGTAACGTGATATTCAAATATCAAGTTTTAAACTACAGCTATCTCGTGTATCCATTAACTCTACACAGTGACAGTACTTCGCTGGATCTGCACAAGCTTTTAAACAATTTGACTCGATTATAGAAAACGATAACAAATATCACAAACTGGTTAGAGATGCCATTTTTGTCATATCAAGTCTTCAAAATTAAAAGGATTGGCTCAGATGAGGTAAAATACTGTTGAACTTTCAAGGAAGCGTGTATTCTTGACAGAGGAAAATATTCTCTCGAGCTGTACTGTGCTCAAGATGAACCTATCCGAATGTGTCAAACTCGGCTTGACCATCTTTGAACAGGACGTCATACTGACCTCACATCCACATATTCTCGTGGTATCAGCTGTTTTTCTTGTTCTGATGACAAGTTATGCTTTTCTTTCCAATGTTACGGTCATGAAAGCTCTTATTTTATCCATCATAAACGACCGGAAACGGGTGAATTCACGTCACAATGAGATCACCAAACACCTAATGTCATCCATGGCCATCTCGGACGCACTCCTGGCTGTTCTTGTTATGCCCTTGGGAATAACAGAAGTCATTAACAACGGAAAGTGGGTGCTTGGATTCAGGACGTGCATTGTTAAGTACTGTCTGGACTATTTACTGAGTGGTGTGCCCTGCTTTCACGTTTTCTGTATGGCCCTCGACCGCTATATCGCCGTTTGCCACCCACTGAGATACAGACTTTTATCCCACAAACACGCCTACGTCATGATATGTCTATCGTGGATGATTCCGTGTTTATTTCTCATGTCATGGATCGTAATAGGAGTGCATGAGTTTGATGACTGCATGAAGTTGACCAACGCCTGCAGTCTGTTCAACTTCAAAACCGAGTTCATCATTGCTTTTGTATTTACCTACGTCGTTCCTTTCTTTGTTATGTATTTTCTTTATTTACTGATCATTCGAAAGCTGGGAAAAATTAAAAAACCTCTTGGACTTCGCATGAAATGCCGAATCAGCAAGCAAGCAGACACTCAATTATGTTTTGAAAGTGTCGTGTCTCGGCAAATTGAATCACCAGCAAGGAACATCTCTACTGTTCAAGTCGGTATAAGCATGAAGATCCGTAATAGGTCTACACGTGAAGACATATCCTGCATTTCCTCTATAGCTGTATATCCCAACAGCGTTGGGGATGTAACAACTTCGGATTTTACCGATTCTACAAAGAGCGCGATAAACAGAAACACTAAAGCATTTCGCACTATTGGTCTAGTTATGATCTGTTTCACGATCTGCTGGCTGCCATCATGGATCTGGCTGTTTGTGTTCCTCGTGAGAAGAAGCCCCACTCCGAGCTGGTTCACGGTGTGCGTTTCCTGGTTTGCCTACTTGAACTCAACTCTAAACCCTGTGCTGTACTGTTGCAACCGTTCTGTCCGAATGGCCGTTAGATCAGTGATGTGTCCATCCTCCGTCACTAAGTAGATGACGAAGACGGGAGACTAGATGTATCTTATTTATGGTGAATGATTTAATAATAAGTTTACATGTAATAATAGGTGACCTATTACAGACCTTATTACATCTTTCGTCCGGCACAACGTTTCTAATTTAATATAATTTTTTGCTTAGAATAGTTTTTTTTCCCCGTAAAATATTAAAACTATTCTTGTAAAGTTTTATTTATGAACACTCCCGTATCAAAATTTTTCGTTTTAATTATACACTCTACAATGTCGTGGACCACGTGGTTATAACTCGTGGTTATCAAATGATGTGCTGGAATACGTAGGGTGAAGAGAACTATGATAACCTACCTGGACGATGAAGGAACTTCCATTGTTACAAATTGTGACTTTAAGTGAAATTTCCATTGAAAAAAAAAAACATTTCTAGCCCAAATAATACGACAGAGCGTAAAAAAAAAAATTGCTATTCGCTACATTTATCAAATAAATTGTATATGGACTAAAATTAGTGTTAACATAAAGTAGTAATTTTGTCAATTCTGTTTTTGATCAATGTTATAAATAATTTAGTTAATTTGAACATTGTTCATAATTGGTAAACACTTTACAAGTCGGCTCTTATCAAGAATGGCTTATCTCGGTTTACCAAGTTCACTTGAAAACACCTTTCGTTTCGTGTTCGTTCTTGTTAAGTTTTTATATGGACCACAATCAATAGTTTAATCGTTCCTATCTGTATATTTGAATGACGTGATCAAATTGAGAAGATTTAAACAATTTTTTTTTTTTTTGAAATTTTTATTTGAAATTAAATCATTGTGGCATACCTGTTTGTAAATTTGATGCAATTAAAATAAAAAATGCGATTGTTTGTTTGTAAATTAGTCGAGTTTAAATTTGTCAATTTTGATTTCATTGGTACAATTTAATTTATGTTGATTGGATGACATGCACTTGATGCTGGAGTTAATATCAGGATAAGCTGATAGCAAATCAAATTCACTTCAAATGACGGAGAGAAAAACTTAAAGTCATACATATACATAAATAGTAAATTTTATAGTATATGTATTGAAATTATGCGATTCCCCCCCTCCCATTTTACCTTACTACTTTAGCAGGATTAAAGACTGGTCATTTGATCACCAATTTTTTTGTAGGAGTGCTATCTTAACTTAAAGGCATTCTAAATACTTAATACATTTTTTTTTCTATTGAACAGAATGTGTTGATGAGTTTTTTTACAATTTTTATTTCGACAAAATGTTTTTTGATAGTTTCATATTCTATTACAACAAAATATGTTATTGATTTTTTTATGTTTCAGTTCAAGGAAATCTGATGGACAGTTTCAGATTTCATTTCAAACAAAATTTCGTTTAGTGTTTCAGATTTCAGTTGAACACAATGGGCTTGAGAGTTTCATATAATTTCGTTTCAACAAATTGTGCTTGCAATTTTATATTTCATTTTGACAAAACGTCTTTGAGAGTTGGGTATTTTATCTCAACCAAATGTGTTTTAGAGATTCATATTTTAATTAATCGATTTTTGTCCATCAAATTTTCACGTTTCAATTAAAAAGCTTAAAATAAAAGAGTTGCATATACGAATACATTGGATATTTTGTCTCTTTTTAAATATTTTAATTCCAACCATTTTGTTTTACACTAATCAACCAATAGGTAGGCATCATATTAGTAAATTAAAACATATAGTGCCGTTAGAATGTATTTAATTTTAAAAAAGCTTCACCAAGATAAGATGTAAGTCGATATATTTTTTTAAAATTTTACTTTGTAATAAAAAAATGTATTAAATAATATAATCATTAATGAACAACTGAATAAGATTTAAAAGTACATAGCTTAGATCAGTAAAGCTTTTAACGAAGCTCTAGAACAGCGGTTCTTGAACAGTGTTGCCAGATATCCGTGAAAATGTGGGAGAGAGAGTCAGGGTGTGAGAGAAGACCCAGAAATCAGGTTTATTTGCTAAGTTATTACAATGTTTCCCATGTGTTGCGGGAATAATATCGTGAATAGAAAATAAATTTCTTTTGAAATCAAGAGGGAACGCCGTGCCGAAAAACATGTACGTCAGAATGAATAAATATATTTTTAAAAATATTGATCAGAAAAAGATTTTTAAAGATTTTTTTTTTACTCCAGACGGATATCCTGTAGGAAAGTCAATTTTCTTTGATCCATGATACATAACTTCGTGGTATTGTTTGTTTAGTTATTTAAAGCTCACAAAACCGCCCCTTCTTGTGTAGACCACGAAGACCTGCCAGTGAATCAGCCAATGACAGAAGCAATCAACGACCCTTGGTGTCAGACTTCATTGACTAACTGAAACTGTCTCTCTCTCTCTCTCTCTCTCACTCTCTCTCTCACTTTTTCACTCTCTCTCACTCACTCTCTCTCACTCTCTCACTCACTCTCTCTCTCTCACACTCTCTAAATCTCTCACTCTCTCTCACTCTCTCCCTCACTCTAACTCTTACTCTCACTCTCTCACTCTCTCTCTCACTCTAACTCTCTCTCTCTCTCTCTCTCTCTCACCAGGGGCGGGGATTTTGTCCCATATTCAAATGTTACGTGATATTTACAAATAACTGTTTTAATGTGGTGCATGGGGAATGGTGCCGAAAGGGACGTAGGTAACTGTCAACTCCTAAGTCTACTTGGATTGATACATTCGTCAAGTTCTTTCACACGTTGTATACGTCGTACTCTTCTTACTATCACTGAATGAACTCAAGACCTTTTGATAATAATTATAACTTTAATCGTGTTATATACTATAAACATAAACACATGACTGTTGCGCAGCTCGCTATCAGACATCAATAATACAGATCCTACTTCCACAAAGTTCCACTCAAGACTGCTGCACGACTAAAACTTACGTCACAATACTGTCTAGACAATACGTCACAATCAGCATCAAAATACGTCACAGAGTCAAGCCCGGGAGGAGCGTTCACCAACTAAAAGAGTCAAGCCCGGGAAGAGCGTTCAACAAGTAAAAGAGTCAAGCCCGGGAGGAGCGTTCACCAAGTAAAAGGGTCAAGCCCGGGAAGAGCGTTCAACAACTAAAAGAGTCAAGCCCGGGAGGAGCGTTCACCAACTAAAAGAGTCAAGCCCGGGAGGAGCGTTCACCAACTAAAAGAGTCAAGCCCGGGAGGAGCGTTTACCAACTAAAAGAGTCAAGCCCGGGAAGAGCGTTCAATGACTAATGAAAATAATACCCAGTCCCAACAATTACTAATGAACTCCCATACTTCATAGTAGTCATTACATTTTCGCTCCGGTTAAAACGCACACCCAGGACCTAAAATATGTCGATCTTTCTATTTTTATCTTCAGGAACACCTTAAGCTAAGATATTATTTACTTTAAAATATTTACATAAATTAAGATACGATTCTTATATTGATAAAAACAAAAGAAAAAAATTTTTTCCTTGCTTTGTGCATATACTAGATATTATTATACAGTCAACATTTTTTAAGTAAAACAATTTAAATACAAGACAACTACATTAAATTATTTCAATAGTGAAAAAAAAAAAATTCCTTAGCCATAGCAGGGACTTATTCGTTCTCATTTACATTCGCGAGTTCGAGGAACACACTGGCAAATTCGTACAGGTTAGGGAACAAAAGAATTTTTATATCTCTCTGTTCTCGCCCTGAGAGAAAGATTCGCCCCGAACGGGCCAATCCTAAGTATTTGTGATAAAAAGGGTGAGATGTATCATCCAACATTTGTTAAGTTTTCCTATTACATCTTCCTGCAAATAGTTTTTCAAGTGGAGGTTGTTGAGTTTGTGTTTTTCTCCTAGCTTTCTTGATTATTATTTTTATTCGGTGTTTAATATCAGACGATTAATTCCCACATTAGCATGTAATGCAGAAAGTAAGTAGGCTTCCAATTGTTGCCCTGTAGAATAAGTTAATAACTTTTTTTGTCTACCCCCTAATTTTACAATATTTTAAGATCTAAAAGTCTTTGGTTGATTTTTTTTATACAGCATTCAGTCATGCTCATGCCATTTTAGCTTATCATTAGTGGTGACACCTAAGTACTTATATGCCTCTATTTTTTACCTAGATTAGCTGTTTTGGGCTCTTGGTTTATAAGATCTTGTCATTTTCTAACAGCATTCTATAATTTCGTCTATTATTTATCGACATTACGTTGCTCAAAACTCCAGATTGTCTCACTAGTAAAATATTAAATATCAAACACCAATTTAGGCTGTGGTACTGGTTATTTTTTTTTTAAATTTGCAAATACCGTGAAAAAAATGTTTTCATTTTTCATTATTAATTTTTTATAAGCTAAAAATTATTACAATTTTTAGCAAACTTGCAATAAGTTTTATTTAAAAAAAAAAAAAAAAAAAAAAAAAAAAAAAAAGATATTATATGTGAGAGCAAGTGAAACAACACACAAAAATTAGTTTTATAGAATCAAGCAAGAAATTTCCTGTTTTCCATGTAACACAGAATCACCTGCTAAGCTTTTGAACACAGTAACGACTTAACAGCCTGCCGAACTGACCTGTTGGCACAATAAATGAATGGATTCAAAGATGTGTTCAAGTATCAAGACAAGTAGACGGTCACAATGACCCACAGAGGCATGACGTAACCGTTTACAGCATAAAATATGACCACTATAGACGGTGGGGCCCAGCACAGTGTGAAACATAGAACAATGGTTCCTATGGTTCGGAAAGCCTTTAGGTTCCTACTGCGTGGGCGTAGAGTTTTACATTTTGGATTTCTCGGACCATTCGTAGCATTACTAGAAATTGGGGGTACAGTTACCTTAAAGGATTTCGAGTTTGTCTGAGAAATGTCCTTTTTTTGAGACAGTGTGGATATTTGCAATGCGTTTTGCTTGCTCCTATTTAAGTTTAATAAAGAAGCTCCAACTATGGACGGATCATTGTGTAACCCCACTGTAGATGTGTTCAAACTTTCATTTGTTGATGCTCCTCTAGATGATATTTGTTCTTTGGATAATCTGCTCACCCCTTTCAGCGTTAATTCTCCAGCTTTCCAATGAGTTCTAGTGTCATGCACAAGAGTGCCTGGCTGTCTCGAGTTGTGTTTCCTTTTATTGAATTGTAGTGTTGCCACCCTGTAAGGCCTTGAAGACACCAGCAACGACGGTGACGTTGGCGAGTATGGGGAAGACGGCAAAAACTGAGAGGATAACAGAAATTATAACAAGGACATTAAGATCTGATGTTATATACTCTTGTGTCATTGTCGCGTTGTTGTCACAATCGGCAATTTCCATGTTGAGATCACACGCAGAACGAGGAATTTAACCGTAATTATAAAGCTTTTTCTCAGAATGTCTCACATTTGCGATTTCAATGTTGAGAACACACACACAAAAGAACTGTTGTAATGATTTTAAAGCTCGTTTCATTACAGTTATAAATGTCCCATAATTGTTCAGTTTCACTAGTGATGATTATATCCTGGTGTTGTAGACATTTTAAAGAGCTGTCTATTCGATATCAGAAATGTCCAGTGATAAAAAAAAAGTTTACTTATTTTAGACATCTTTGGTACAACGTCTTATAGAAAAATTGTTTCAATTTACAATGTCTTTGAGGTCAGCGATTGAATATGTTAAAGTATTCTCATAGTTTATAACCATTTAATTCCTTAGTGATGTTTAAAATAATAACATTTAATTTGATTTATCCTAACAAACCGTACGCCTCTTTAATTTTTGGACTAAAATACAATGACGGAGTAGAAGCGTACACATCGCCATGGGCTTAACAAACACACGTTCAAAACAGTTCAGATAAATGTTTACATTAGACTTGATGGAGCTGAAACGTTTTTGTGGACTCAGTCAATGGACTCGGTCAATGCACTGATGGGATTTACTGGCACGACATTTACTATGGGGTATTTAATCATAATTGGTTGAATGTTTTGGTAGATCTGGGAATGTCCGTGAAAAAGAGCTGCTAGGTAGATGGAATCACACAAAAATGTAATTATTTGGCTGATCGATCTAGAATTATTGATGTTTTTCTTGCCGTGAGTGATAATAAATGAACGCTTCGTTAACCTGCAAAAAAAATAAATAAATAAGACTGACTTTGGGGAAGTTAATATTATGTGAGGCAAGCCTCATTTAGAAAAGTTAGACTTTTGATTATAATAGGTAAAATTTAGTTAGAAAATTTGGAGTTGTGTTTAGTTGTGTTTAGATGATGCAAGACATAATTACATAATTAAGATTGCATTGTGATTATAGGATGCAAGAATAACCTAGAAAATTTAAGATTATGATTATATGATTCAAGACAAAGTTACAGAAGTTAGAATTATGCTTATATGATACATGATAAAGTTAAATAATTTAGATTGATTATATGATGTAAGACTAAATTAGAATATAGAATTTTGATTATATAATGCAAGAGGAAGAAAAATGTATTAGTAATTGCGATTATATATTGCAAGATTAAGTGAGATAATTTCGAATGATTACATGATGGAAGAGCAGTTAGAAAAGTTAGGCTTGTGATTACATGATGCAAGACACGTCAGCAAAGTTAGGCTAGTGATATACAAGGATAGGCAAACAAAATAATAGGGGAGAATTTACAGTATAAAATAATATTTCAATTACCCAGAAAGTATAATAAAGCTATTCTTTGTTCACAGCCGTAAAACCATAATTACATAATTTTAAACTAAAGAATTTTTTTTTTGGTTAAAATTTATGTGATCAAAAAAAGTACGCGTGTCACCTTTCTAGGTCCTTATGTAGTTCTGTTCTAGGTCCTTATGTAGTTCTGTTCTAGGTCCTTATGTAGTTCTGTTCTAGGTCCTTATGTAGTTCTGTACAACGTCAGTTGGTGCTTTTTTGTCTAAATTATACGGAATTATAATGACATAACATTAAAACACACACAGGCAAAGACACACGCACAGAGAGACAGAGAGAGAAAGAGAGTAACTAGGATGTTCATGGAAAAAAAAATATTGTTTATCATTCGCGCATGAGTGTACGGTACGGCTTGTAACTTCATCGTAAAAAAAAACAAAAAGAAAGAAAAAAAGTTCAAAGTTCAACTGATCACGTTTACCAAAATCCGTAGATAAAACATTGATTATTCTTTGGAGGGCCTGTGTGTGTTTGCTGTCTGGCAGTACGCAGAACTTAGTGACAGATTTAATGGTGTTGTTATCGTAATAGATCGCCATCCCTTGTGACAGTAGATATCTGACAAATTTGTTTCGGAATATGTTCGTGGCTGTGTTTACTATTACCGAATGATGCATGGAGTGGTGGAAGTGTTCAGATCTCACGTCTAACGTTTAGTTTTGCATTATAATTAGTGTGTGGAATTGTGGATTCATTTGTGTAGAATTTACAGTGTTAATATAATAAAAGTCGAGGTTTTCCCATAAATATTTAGTGAAATACGTCAAATTATCTAACAAAAGACTTTGTAAGAAGATGCAAACCAATTAATACTAAAAATTTAATCTAAACCCAGAGGCGTACCGAGGTTTTGGTAAGCAATGGGTAAGCCGTGGACGCATTTTGAAGAGGGAAGAAAAATTGGAAAGCTGGACCAGAATGTTGTATGTGTTTTAAAAATTTCGTTTTAAGAATAAAACATCATCTCTACACGGATCTGTGAGTATATTTTGGGGCCTTTGTTAAAAAGTAATCGATGTCAGTGAAAGAGTGTATATTAAATGAACTGTTTCTTATCTTTTAAGTCCACTATTGAAATGGGTACATACATTACGTCACATCTGGACATATTAGTGACTCTAGCGGTCGCCACCCTTGTCATCGCTCTCGTAACTGTATTCTCAAACGTGATACTCTTCCTCGCCATTGTACTGCCGAGCAGCAGGAACAGAACCGCTCATAAATCCTATAGGACATTTATGTTTATGAGCTCCATGGCTGTCTCTGACAGCATTCTTGGAGCGCTAGTTATGCCCCTGTCAGTTGTACCAATAATACTGAACGGAACATGGGACCTCGGGAACGTCACGTGCAGTGGCTACCTGGCCGTAACAAATATTGTGTGTTCCGTGAACGCTTGTCACATTTTGTGCATGGCCGTCGACAAATACATCGCGGTGTGTAGACCTTTACAGTACAGGTTGATGAAGAAAAGAACTATTCAATTTATGATCTGCGCTTCGTGGCTTTTTCCTATCGCTTTGACTTTGTTACTAAAAATTAATGGAATTGACAATATGGGTCTGGAGATGAGATACAAGGGGATGTTGGAGGAGAGCAACTTTTGCTTTAACAACTCTAGCAGAGAAGTATTCGTCTCCTATTTAATCCTATCGTTTTATGGTCCCATAATCGTGACCTATATTTTGTACGCGCGAATATTTAAAGAAATTTGGAGTTTGAACAATCGCTCCCCACAATATCGTCTCAAAAAACCTTCAGCACTTTCAAATTCAAAGGAAAATTTGACAACAGATGTCAACGTCATAGGCATCAAAATTTTATCCGACATGACATCGGGTTATGTTGCAGAGCCCAATTCGGGACAATCTAATTACACGATCGACTCAGATACCAACAGAGTCAGGAATAAAAAAACGAAAATAAAAAATAGTGAGCGCCCTTCAACCGATTCTCGAATACCTCGTCATATCTCCCGACACATGAGGGCCATTCGAACCATTGGATGCATCGTTGCGGCCTTTACCGTCTCCTGGATTCCGACGTCGCTGTATCTGGTCACCATCAGGTACATTGGATACGAACAACCGATGTGGTCTATTTTACTCTCATTTTGTTTTTCTTTCTTAAACTCGACCATCAACCCGTTTCTGTGTTGTTCTATGAAATCAGTGAGGGTTAAGGTGAGAAATCTGACAGGTCTTTGAGCCTAATGGGATGTGGTAAATTGGAATTGTAGAAAACATAAATCTGAACGTTAACTTCTAAAAGTTTATTTTATTCCTTTTAATTTAAGGCAAGGTAATTTTTTTTTTTTTTTAATAAAATATTCAGAATGTGGGTTTTTTTTTCCAATATTGGATTTAGTCGTTGATAAATTTAATAAATAAAAAAAAAAATAGCACTTCGGATCGACTTAGATTAACGACCAAAATAGTTAACCCATGAGTTGTTGTTTATAAAAATTAATTCTACACCACTAGACAACTTTAGGGAAACTAACATGGGAGATCATTGGAATGTCTCAATAACGCAGTAGTGACACTCCAAACATTATAGTGGAACACCGCACATTAATTGCTGCATGGAAATTTTTTTTTTTTTAAAAGGGAGTTTATTTTAAAAACGAAATCTGCCTGAGTATTTTTGCATTGTTTCTAGGCAACACTTTGTATTGCACAATGTTTCTTGATTAAGTGAGAATTTCCCTAATAAATGTACGCAACTATACATAAATGCTGTGATATGTAAGGTTCTTAGCAGAAACTGTTATGTTTAGAGAGGTTAATGACTATAACATGAATTTCATCAATTCAATTGCAATACATATTCTTTGTATTTACAGCCCAATTCAGGATTTTAAATGTTCACGAAATAGATCGATTTATATAAGGACATTTAAAGTATGAGTATCGAATAATATTTTTGGAAGACAAAATCTGTCTTTTTTTTAAGCACACTCAATGGAAAATGATTTAAGAGCATGTTTCACGATAGATAATTGAGATTGGGTACGTTAAAAATATAGCTTTCCTTGGAAAAAACAACTTTTAATGAAAACGAAGAAAAGCCACCAATATGGAAATATCCAAATGTGTAAATGTTACACCTGTCGTCAGTGATGCACAGGTCACATCTGATTTGAATCTGCTCGTCATGATTAGTTTTATTTTTTCTGTTATTCGACCCTCACTGTGATGTCTAACATTTTAGTTGTATTGGGCGTCATCAAATCTATCAGAGACGATAAAACCACCAGAAACGTCAATAAGATCACGAAAATGCTGATGTCTTCAATGAGAATCGCCGATTCACTCTTTGACGCCGTTGTCATGCCACTCAGTGTAGCTGAGATGATTGACAACGGCAAATGCTTTCTGGGCCATGACTTGTGCTCATTCCGTCTTGCTGTCAACAATACTTTGTCTGGGATTTCAATTTACCATATTTTGTTAATGGCAATGAACAAATACTTGTCGAAGTACAGAATGTTAAATGTTAACAGAGGATACATCCTCATTGGAATCTCATGGATATTCCCAATACGTTTCATTAACATTCCTCTATCCATGGGATGAGGGAAGTTAAGTGTAGAGGACATGGAGCATTGCTACAAACAAAGTCATCAGTGCATTACGGTGGCGAGTCCTCACGTACTTCTGGGAATCATCTGTTTAGCCTTTTACTTACCATTGGCGTTGACCTATGTGTTATATATCATTGCTCTTCATGACATCTATCGGTTTATTCAAAGAAAGAACTGTCCAAAAACAAATTGATGCAAAATTCTTCTGGTTCAATCTTTTCAATGATGACGTTTTCCAACCGCTGCCCGAAAGCAAAAAGTTCCAGAAGAAATTAGAGCAAGGGGTTCAGTTTCTCAAGGCGGAAAAAATGTTAAGAATTTATTTTTGTCCCAAGATTTCACGAGCAGTCAAAGTTTCTGGATTTACCAAGAGAAACCTGAAGGATTTCCGAACCATTGGATCAATTGTGCTCTGTTTTAATCTGTGTGTTCCCAACTTGGATTTGTGTCCTTTATTTCACATACAATAGTCATGTTACGCCCAGGTGGTCAGTCATGTTAATGAATTGGTCAGGTTATCCGAACGCCGCCCTCAATCAAATATTATATTGTGGTTACAGGTCTGTCAGGTGGTCGGTGAAAGCTCTGTTATGGAGAATTTAGTCTGGTGGCCATTGGGAGAGCTATTTTGTTGATGAGAGATTAGCCAGTTGGTCGGTATGAGAGCTACATAGTTATCGATAGTTTAGACTGGTAGTCAGTGGGAGAGCTAGCTACATTGTTACCGAGACATTAATCTGGTAGTCAATGGTAGAGCTTCTTTTTTACGGGTAGATTAGCAGTACCGGATTAACCTAAAGGAAAATAAAGGACGAGCGTAGGGGCCCCGTGCCATGGGATCCGATTTTTTTAGTAGTTTAGACTTTAACTTTTTGTTGAAATTCTTGTATGGATGTAATGTATAGTACTGATCGACATCTCTCTAATAATAGATATTATAGATTTACATGGAGAAATAAAAACAAGGAAAACAACACAAATCGTAAACTGTTCCTCAGACGGTAATTATTATATCAAAATGGTTTTGAGGGTTGGGGGGGGGGGTGATTTTTGAGAGACTATCGTCTTCATATTGCTGCAGAGATACATATAATGAAATTATTATGCCATTCAGGCTCGAATTAAAAAAAAAATAATATGGCCATTCTGTGCAGATATTTGATTAGGGTGTTGGGGAGAGTATATCATTGGTTACCTGACCCAATGCTGCGTGGCATAAGTATATCAGGGGATACCTGATACATACACGTCGAGCTCTAACTTCACGAGCGTGCAAAGATATAAACTCCATTGTGCCTCACAGGGCCATCGCCTGCTTCACACCTTTCAATTTCCATCTTTTGGGAGAGGAACTACTGATTGGTCTCGTACACTTTGACTGACCTGTTCTTTTTTAAATTTAAAGTCAACATACAAAATCTTTTGGGACATATAAACAAGCAGAATGTGGACGTGGAACAAGAAAAAAATATCATAAAGCTGTAATTTTTTAAAATTTAAATTATATTTGTGTATTATTTTCATGACTTTGACTTAATATGCTGTAGATGGTACCTGTAAGCTCCCTGTGTAAACTGCATATGTCTAAAGTGTTACTTAAACAAGAAAACATATTTCACACATGTTCACTCAATCAAAATAAAAATAATAATAATAAAGGCAAATCTGAAGTTATTTTTTTTAAAAACATTTTTCATTATTTTTTTTTTTTACATGAGGTGCCTTCAAAGATAAAAAAAGGGAAAGGATACCTTCATGAAATATTTACCGAATTTAAATGTTTTAAATAAATTTATTTCTAGTTGTCTACACTTAATTACAACAAAAAAATCAAAATTTCCATGGTCTTGTAACTGTGGATTAAAATAAGCATCTGTTGGACACTCAATATATAATATTTGAAAATGTGATAAATGCACCACTATAAAACTTCACATTACAAATTAAGCAATACATTTAGTTACGCTTATGATGTTTGTCTCTTTGTTGTTCTATGAATATGTTTTTTTTTTATTTAAGCACACACAGGAATTTATGTACTCAAAAATGCCACAGAAACAATTTTGTTAATTGTTGTTGCTGTTTTTTTTTTTGCCGAACATTGCTCCAACTGGCGTACAGCAGTGTTTGGAGGAGTGAAAACGGCAAAAGATAATCGAAACGAGGCCCTCGAATCAAAAAGATCAATTCGAAAATCAAGAATACACCGGGTTTCAACTTTCTCCTGCGAGAGATGCGACCGTGATTGCCATTCAAGGATTGGCCTAGTGAGCCACTCGTCAAAGTGTAGAATTATATAGCTACTCCATTGTCTCACGTAGACGGAAGGATGCCATAATAATTTTTTTTTTAGTGTTAAAAATAGTCTGCTTTCATTTATTGTATTTTAATATTTAAACTATTTAAGATTTCTGTTTCTGTATTTTTTTTTTTGGTAACATTTTTTCCCAAAATATTCCAATTCATAATTATAAAATAAAGTTAATTATAAGCACTGTGTTTTTTTCCCTCTCTTTTTTTAAAAAAAATAACATTATTTTTATTCAACTTATTTTTTTTTTTATGCCATAATAATTTTTTTTTTAGTGTTAAAAATAGTCTGCTTTCATTTATTGTATTTTAATATTTAAACTATTTAAGATTTCTGTTTCTGTATTTTTTTTTTTTGGTAACATTTTTTCCCAAAATATTCCAATTCATAATTATAAAATAAAGTTAATTATAAGCACTGTGTTTTTCTCCCTCTCTTTTTTTAAAAAAAATAACATTATTTATATTCAACTTAATTTTTTTTTTTTAAATGGATGGTTGAAAATAATTAATTTCATTTGCCGAAACTGGTAATCATTATTTCAACTCTGTCTATGCTGTCGAAATACCTATATAAATATTATCTCCCTCTACTCACTTATTGATCCACGATCTTAGCACCCAACACTTATTCTCCTAAACTCTACCCAATCGCATCACCCAAACTCTGCTCCTTGCCCCTTGCAAACACTTTTACTTGCCTCTAAATAATCGTACCACACCAACCTTTTTTTCCTTGCCTCAACCCAAATCAAACACCCACATCCTTTCTCCTCACATCTACCAAATCCACCCAAATCAAACACCCACATCTTTTCTCCTCACATCTACCAAATCCACCCAAAGCAAACACCCACATCCTTTCTCCTCACATCTACCAAATCCACCCAAAGCAAACACTTCTACTTGCGTGTACTCAGCCCTCCTCATCCTTTGCCAGCGCATCACCCACAAGATAACCAAGTATCCTACAACCTATCTGTATTTTTCCACACATATCGTCCCCTTGTCTTTCTACATACATCACTGAAGTAAATGACAAGGAAGTTTAAGTTTTGGTAATTATAAAAAGTATATATATATCTTCTTCTTCTTCTATATCTTAAGGGCCCACGATCAATTTATTGATCATTTTGGCTCCTATATACCTATATATATATAGCCTATATACCCGGCGTTGCCCGGGATTACATTAGGACCCCATCCTGGTGGGACTCCCGATCCTATTTTGACCCCGATCCCATACTGACACTGATCTCGGCGCAGTCCCATTTCCCGGCATGATCCCGATCCCATTCGATGACTTGCAGGTAGATTTAGAGTTTCATGGTCCTCCCTTTTATCAGCGTCAGGAAAGGTTGCACCGAGTTTGTTTAATGACAACCCGTTTTAAGAACTTCTGGATATCTCGTCAAATAAGGAACTACAAAGTTTATGAAGTCAGAAGTGATATAAAACATCCCCATTGTTCTTTTCTGTCCGAAAAAAAAATAGTTTTTAGCAATATGTACTAACCCCATTGTGGCAATCACTTGAAAAAAAATGTATATGCATAAATATATTTCTCCATCAAGGCATTATTGCATTGGATTTGTCTTAAATAAGAAATAAAAATAATTAAAAATTGATTGACAAAAATTGCTTCTTTCTTCAATATTATCAATTGTGCAATTGTGGGAGAAATCTCTGGCTAATTGTATGCATCAAAGCGTTTTGAGACATATAGGTGAGTATGTTTGCCAAACTGCCCCTGCTCAAACAGCAGAAATATATTTTTCTTTATCACAAGAGATAAACAAAATTTACTCATCAAATAAAAAATTGAAGAAAAAAAAAAGAGCACATTTCAAGCCTCTACAACGACTGCAAAGGCTTGCAGCGTAAAGTATCCATGTCCATGGGCTTGACATGTTTTGGTTAAAAGGATACCATAAATTCCAATACGAAAGATTTTGTTTTTAACATATTTTAACATTTGTATGCTTGGAATAAACTAGTAACAGATCTGGACGGATTATTCTTTCCTTAAAATCGACTTGACGGCAAGCCTCACAGTGTTGTTTGTACAGCACAGAAGAGGATTTAAAACTGTGTTAACGTAAGTCAACCAAGATAACAATATAAAAATATGTCCACTGGATTGGTCCTCAAAGAAAATAGTCAACCAACCTGGTAGCCAGCAGATCGTGTAACAGATGATCAGGCAACCCAGGGTATGGTAGGCCTTCATATTTTTGATTGCGGAAGATGTAACAACCGGTTTGATGTGTGGCAACGTAGTTTGCCGTTGTGCTTCTATCTCGTTTACGTATTTCTCATGTTGGTTATCGGAAAACCTCACTAACCTAGCATCTTCTACACAGTTCTTAGTTGGAACCTCACCCATTGTTGTTTCTTGTACTACAGCATCGTTATACGCTGTTACAGCAGACGTTGTTATTCCTTGTACTGCAACATCGTTTCCATTCGCTTCATCACACGATATTTCTTCTTTATTCTGTATTGATGGAACCACGGGGGAACATGTCGCCATGTTCCTCTCTTCCTCTGATGATGCAAACAAATATTTTTGGCGGGATGAATGGTTCACCACTGTATTTATCGTTTCTTTTGAAAGCTCTTTGTTATTGACATTTTTCCGTGTCGGCTGATCATTTCCCTGTGTAGTATAAAAATTTAGCTGATTAATGTTAAAATTGACGTTTATAATTTTTGTTGCCGTAGTAAATGCTCTTTTTGACAGACTCCACAAAGACGATGTCATGTTCAAGGATTCCGTTTGTTTCTCAGAAATTTTCTTCGGGTTTCGTCCGAAAAGCTTGAGTTGACGTTTGTGAAACGCACGCACTTGAACGAGAATGAGCAAATACAGAATATACGAGACAAAAAATGGTGCATAGAATGCAATGACCCAAACAAAATATTGAACGTTGTTTGACCAGAAGCTCCCATACCTATCGCCTGTTAATGAAATTATGGTGTTAATTCCCACTAAAGAAGCTGGAACAATCAAGGAAACAGCAATCATCAAGTATCCAGCTTTATTGGTTAAGAGCCTGTGCACAAATGGTTTGCAAACAGCAAGGTATCTGTCTACAGCCATGCAAGTCACATGGTAGATTGACGCACATTGTATGTAATCGTTTAAGACAGATCGCATCCCACAAACTTCGGCTCCGAAATTCCATTTTCCGTTTTCAAAGACCTCTATCACACCCAGTGGCATTACCATGGAACAGCATAGCAGGTCACAGAACGCAAGTGCTACAACTAACATTATTTGAATGTTATGGCTGGGCCTTTTGCTACAATTGCTGGAACTCCTGGGTGATCTTTTACACTCATAGAAGATACTATAAATAAGTATCACGTTAAAAAGCAAACCCAGCAATGTTACCCCGGCCAAAATAACAGAGGTGAATATTTTAATATATGACCGTGCAAATATTTCATCTGTATAATTTTGTAAGGTCAGATACAACATATCACACCGAGAGTTATTCATTTTAAAATTGTTTGATTTTGAACCATATTATGAAAATGTATGCATTTAAATGGTTGATCTTTTGAAATCTTTGTTATCTGTAGTTTTATAAAAATGCATCCATTTCTTTTTCCACAGGTGAATTACATGTCACTTTTATTTAAAAAAACAGCAAATATGATCATGTCCGTTTAGATAACAACAATAGTAAAAAAATTAATTATTGACACAAAAAACTCCACTTCATCGCTGGTTAAAACTGTTTATATACACTTTTAAAAAATTACAACGAAATACAAAGCTCAAATAAACAGTTTTATAATCGTCTCACACACGGATATTATTGCTTCACTGTTTATACCGGGGCCATAAATCCCCACCTCACGATTTGATCTGTGTCTCAGAAAACAAAGACAGCTTTGAATTTTCATCGAGTTTCAGGCTACACAAAACCCCCACACAGCTCAGATGGAACCGCACCACCTGTCATTTAAATCATTGATACCGGAAACACTAACAGCGCTCGTTTCCTAGGCAACCGTGCAATAACGAATAGATGCGTTTATCGTGCCATTCAATGATGATTTAACAAATATGATTGCGGGACGTATATTTTATTTATTAGCTCTTTTTTGAGGCAGGTTTTAAATTTGTGCGTCTGTTTTAGTGAATTACCACAATAAAATAAACAGATTTACATATTAATTTTCAGTTTTTGTTTTTCTACTGCGATAATGACTCTACGTCACTCACTTATTATGACAAAGCTTTTTTTGTTTGTTTTTTTGTTTGGTCTTCACACAAAATAACGTTGACAGCCATCAAAATAAGAAATCATATTTTAGTGTTCACTAAATTTAATGTTGACAGTCATTGGAATAAGAAAGCATATTCTAGTGTTCACACTAACTAATGTTGACAGTTATTAAAATACAAAAAAAAGTATATTTTAGTGTTCACTAAAACCAATGGTGACATTCATTGAAAAAAGAAAGCATATTTTAGTGTTCAGTAAACCTAATATTGACAGCCATTGAAAAAAGAAAGCATATTGCAGTCTTCACTTAATCTAATGTTGACAGTCACCACTGTGATGAACGCCATTGTTTCCATTGATTTAATTCAATTGACTGAGTTTGTAACATGAGATGACACACCCAACCTGACAGTGGTGGAGAGGGCCCTTAACTACGTCAACTGTGGGTGGGACAAATCAGTTAGAAATTATTTCCCCCTGCACAGTTTGGATGTACCTCGAGCTAATTCGTTCAGGCAAATGCTTGTAAAAACTTTGCTGACTTCATTTTTCTCTGCTATTTCATGGATTATGCGTTATATCTTTTTACTTTACTTTTATTATTTCTAAAAAAATGTAAGTCCATCTTTAAAGGAATTTTCTAAAAATCGATTGCTATGCAAGGGTTATAATGTGAATGTTTTTAAAAATCTTACTCAACGCATTTTGAAAGAAAGAAAAAAAATGTCCATATTGACTGCAAAAGTATAATGTTAAATTAAGCTAAGGAAATGTGTTCAGATATTTAAGATTTGAATAGCTATTGAAATGTGTAAAACGTCTTCGATTGTGCTACTTGTAACTGCCATGCAACCAGTGTGACAGTTGAGCTTTGATATCGGCCCAATACTTACTAATTATTAATATAATGAACTGCTAAGAAAGCACGAGAAAACGCAGACCATCTCATCACCATTAACTTTTATTCACATTTAAGCTTCACAATTCAATATATAAAAAAAGGTTATCCGAATTCGAATAAAATAATTGTCATGACGTCATATACGACTCATATGTGGTGCAAGTATATGTGCTTACAGATTAGCAAAACAAATTTTAAACACAAATATGTAGGTAAGACAAAAGTGTGCATGTAACTAATTACATTATGAGCAGTGGCGTAGCTAGGGTTGGTGTCACCTGGTGCGGTAAACTCATAGTGTCACCCCCCCTCCCCCCAAACTTCCATGATGGATTTTTGTTGTTGATGTTAAAATAAGTCCGCAGCATAACAATGACAAGGATGAAAGCAAATTAATTGAAGGTCAGGTGGTAAATTTATTTAAGAACTGTAACAACGTTAGGTTATAGATATGTTTACATAAACTTACTTTAAAATGTTCCTTACCTGGGCTTCAAAGCTGCAAGACTGTAAAGGATTTGATCAACATCAACATCCTTCCTCGTATCAATTTTAAATGATAGTAGAGCAAGATCAGAAAGCCTTGGATGTTCAATGGTGGATCGTAAATAGTTCTTGATAAGTCTTAGTTTTGAAAAGCTTGCTCACACGAAGCCTCAAACACGCAGTTCGTAAAAAACAATTGAAAGCTTATCAACAGTATTGGAAGACATTCTAGGAAGTCCCATTCAGCTATGAATTTAAAAATATCGAATACTCAACAGTCCATGACTTTGTAAAATTAATGTTCCAAGCCTTGGTATTGCTTTTGAAAGTTCATCAAGAAGAGGTTACTTTTGGAACAGATACCAATAACTCTTCTTCACTTGATGATAGGATTCTATTGGGTTGAACAGCCCCAAACATATCTGCTACTTCCTTGATCCCTGATGATCTGATCTGGAGTTAAGAATGAAAGCAATCAATACCCTACATCATGTCCCTACAGTTTTATTCTCGCAGAGAGTCCAGCATCTATTAATTGTTCTCTTGTCATTCTCTTCTTAAACCTTAATCTTCTATCTACAGAAAGTCTGATGTTTAAAGTGCTTTTTCAATAGCATGTTCCTACAAGTGACAGCACAAGTGCAGAATCAATCTTAAGGCCTCTAGGTTGGTCACCTTGTCAAGAATAAAGCCAAACTCTGAAGGATATCCCTCCACGTTTTCGTATCCCTGTTCCATCACATCAATATTTTCAGCATCATTTGTTTTGTGTAGCCTAAGTCCTGCTGCCAATATTTTCCATTTTTTAATCTCTCTTCTGATGTCTCACGATTTTGTAATTTTTGGGCTCAGTTTCCACCACTTGTAAAAACCAAGTAACAAATGTGGATGTTGTTTAGTTTTTTTTAGCATTTTGAGATTAAATAAATTTAAATTAATGTTAAAAGATAACATCAAATTTTGTAAAACTTTATTTTGTTAACCCTATAAATGGGCAAAGAGTCAATTTAAAAAAAAAATAATTAATTTTTACCAAATCGATTCGTGTACATAGAATCGCACAAGCACATTGTATTTGATATTAATGGAGTGATGTATTTCTCAGAATTTAGATAAAAATAGCTTCCTGTCACTTACAAAAGTTAACCTTGCACTGTTAATGAAGCACAAATTTGGATTGATTACACGTGTGGGAAAATGTACGTGTGATTGGTCATCCTTTTATGTATTTCGGTTAGATCGAGCAGTTTTTTTCTTTTTAAATATGCAATTTTTCAATTTGGTGTCACCCCCTGAAGTGGTGTCACCCGGTGTGGTCCACAGCCACGCAACCCTCTAGCTACGCCACTAATTATGAGTTACATATCTTAGTAAAGTAATTTTTAGAAAGAAGCCTAAAATTAGCTTAACTTTGTTCATTAATTTCGCTTACAATTATTTGAAGAGGGCTTAAAAAATATTGTAACCTTAACACGACTCGATAAAATAAAATTTAAATTATGTTTCAGTCGAAGGCATTATGTAAAACTTACATATATTTTTAAACAAAACTCTTTTGTGTAACAATTTAGGATTCCTTCTGTAAAATCTACATGGACAACATTTATAGCTCATGTCTCACAGGTCTCAAAATTTATAATCTAAAAAAAACCTAAAAAAAACAACAAAAACAAGTTAATTGAGTCTGCAGTATACAGCAGCCAACAACGGAGTACATCTGGTGAACTGTGTTTTTAGCAGTGCCAGAAACCTTTTTCATAAGGCCAATTCAACAAGTGCACACAAAAATCTCGGAGCACAGTGTTCGAGAAACCAACAATGAACAACGTCACTAATAACAACACTGAACATACTTCAATCTTCACATCTCTTAGAAATCACATCCTCGTCCTCATCGCATCTATCATCGGCCTGGTCGCCGTCTTCACGGTGGTATCTAACGTCATCGTCCTGATCGCCCTGGTCAGGTCACGGAGAGAGGATCACAGAAACATCCTTTCCGGTGCACGTGACAACGGGATCACCAAGCTGACAATGGCGTCCATGACGGTCGTTGACGTGCTCATCGGCATGCTCCTGACTCCTCTGTTTAGCATGGACGTCATCAACAAAGGACGGTGGTATCTCGGACGTGATCTGTGCACAGCGAGGCAATCATTGAACAATGTTTTGTGCAGTGTGTTGATCTTTAACATTTTAGTCATGGCCTTGGACAAATATTTGGCAATCTGCAAGCCTATGTATTACCGTCTTCTTACCATCCGGCATGGGTATGCCATGGTGGTACTTTCGTGGTTGATCCCATGTGTAATTGTCACGGTCCTTGATGGTTCGGGGCTAAGCCATATGGGAGCAGAGAACACCCTAGTAATATTTGATCAGAGGCATCTTTGTTCACAGTAGAGACCGACCGAAAGTGATTTTCTGATTTCGGCCGAAGCCGAAAATAGGCCGAAAGTTTAAAATGACTTTCGGCCGAAACCGAAAAAATGCCGAAAGTTTAAAAATGACTTTCGGCCGAAACCGAAGAAAAGCCGAAAGTTAAAAATGAATTTCGGCCGAAACCGAAGCCGAAACCGAAAATGAAATATTAAGATATAAATATTTACATTCTTTTTATAAAAAATGAGATAATCGTGAATATTAATA